AAGCAGTGGCACATTCAGCACACACTGCCATCCACTGCTGGCCATGGGAGTCCTCTGGCTACCAAGTGACATTTTGGGATTTATCGTCTGATTAGGAAACTGGAAACAGCACAGCTGCTGGTACTCTGCAGAGGAAGAAAGAAACTGATTGCTAATATGAGAAACATTATAAAGAAAACCCTTAAACATGTAGCATTTTTCATTATCAGAAGAACTTTCTTCTTATAACATGGGATACCAGATAAGAACTTGTATGTGATCATTCCTGTACCTGCTTTTAATTATTAAAAAGTTTCCTTTTAGTCTCATAGCACATTACTCACTGGTAGATGACTTGGCAATTCAGCCTTGTAATATTACAATTAAATTCAGTAGACTTTCTACTGTGGAGAGTAATAAATCAGAGTAGACTCTGATTTATGCTGGAGCTTGCTCATTTCTGAAATTCTGAGTAGACCAAGCAGTATTTTCAAGCCTGTCAGCTGCCAGGTTCTCAATGCCCAGAATGAGCAGTTTCTGAAACAAACACAGCAACAGCACACTTGTGTTCTGCCCCAGTTTTACAAAGTACTTTTTCAAACTCAACTTGCCTCACTTGGCAAGAGTACAAGCACAGCTGTCCTGGTAAGAAGAGAGTCAGTTATCACCTTGTAATGGCTTGGGTTGGGAGGGACCTACACATCAGCCAGTTCCAACCCTCTGCCATGAACACCTTCCACTAGATCAGGCTGCTCAGAGCCCTGTCCAACCTGGCCTTGAACACTTCCAGGGATGGGGCATCCTCAGCTTTTTTGAGCAACCTGTTCAAGGGGGCCTCACAGCCCTCACTGTCAAGAATTTCTTCTCATTATCTAATCTAACTCTACTCTCAGTTTAAACCGCTGCGATGCATTTATCAAAGGTATCTCCTCCTTTAGGATTTTAGAAAAGGCAGAAATTTCAAGTTGTCTCAAACCGCCATTAAACAAATTAGTTTGTTTTCTTGATGTGTTAAAAAAAGTAGGCATCATTCCGGATAAGAACTCTCACTGCAAGAAATGTAAATATTCAGATATTTTCTGAATTTAATGCTGCAACACCAAAGCAGCCACATGGACACACTGTTTCTTTCTCTAAAAAGAAAGCCCATTTGTGCATTTCAAACAATGGAAAAGCTTTGTCAATGAAATGTGCCTTTAGAAGAAACACACTACCCAGGCCACCAGGAGTTAACCCTATCTTTTGAGTGCAATTCCCTTCCTAAAGCACACTTGTTTTGGGGTTTATTGTTTTTTTTATTTCAGCCATCTACTCGAAAATGAAACAAATGTACCATTAATGCCCTAGGAAGTTAATATGTATAACAAAGATTGCACTTGTCTCACACAGCCATTCAGAAAGGCCAGGAGAATTTAATATAAAAAGTATCACCTCATTAAGTACAGCAAGATATAACTAGATCATTACAAATAGGAACACCAACATTTTCTACATAAACCCCAGACAGACGGAGAACAGTTCCAGGAAGTGAGCTGCTAAGTTCATGATTCACTGGCAGTAGTCAGCATGGTCAGCAAGGGGAAGTCAGAGTTGAGCAACCCTCTGCAGGGACATGACTGCCAGGAGCTGAAGGGAGAGCAGCAGGCACTGCCTGCCCAGACCCCTGACACTCTCCCAGATCCTGGTTAATGATGCTGGGCAGAGCATGCCCTCAGCAAGGCTGCAGGTGACACAATCTGGGAGTGGCTGATACCTGCAGCGCCTGCTGCCATCCACAGGGACCTCTGCAGGCTGGAGAAAGGGGCTGTGGAGGAAGAGTCCTGCACACTGATACATCCTGGAGCCCGGCAGCTGGAAAAGCCCCCTTGCAGAGAAGGCCTTGGGCTCCTGGATTGGAACAGGAGCCAGCAGTGTGCCCAGAGCAGGCTGATGGCGTGGGCTGCAGCAGCAGGGTGACAGAGGTGATCCTTGCCTTGACTCACACAGCAGCAGTGCCCAGTGTGAGGCACACAGACCAGCTGGGAGTCCAGCTAAAGGCCACAGAGGCATTCAGGGACTGCAGCACCTCTCTCACAAGGAAAGGATGAGGCAGCAGGGATTGTGCAGCCGGTGAACAGGAGCCAGCAGTGTGCCCAGGCTGCTGGCATGGGCTGCAGCAGGAGGGTGACAGAGGTGGTCCTTCCCTTTACTCACACAGCAGCAGTGCCCAGTGTGAGGCACACAGACCAGCTGGGAGTCCAGCTAAAGGCCACAGAGGCATTCAGGGACTGCAGCACCTCTCTCACAAGGAAAGGATGAGGCAGCAGGGATTGTGCAGCCAGAAGGAAGCTCAGGGAGACTCTTACCAACACATACCATCATCTGAAGTGGGGGTGCAAGATGGAGGCAGCCTCTTGTCAGGGATGCCCAGGGACAGGCCAAGGGGGAGTGGCACACACTGGAGCAGGTGAGCTTCCCTCTGAGCACAGAGCACACTGTCACTGTGAGGCTGGCTGAGAGCTGCAGCAGGTGGCCCAGGGACACTCTGTCCTTCCTTGGAGAGCCAAAGCCATCTGGACCTCATTCTGGCCAGCAAGGCCTAGATGGCATGGCTGGAGCAGGGAGCATGGACAACATGACTGGCAGAGTCAACCTCAACCCGCCTCTGATTCTGTGAATAAACAAACACATGGAAGTTTTGAAAAAATGCCAAAGTTGGGGTTTTTTAATAGAAAAAACGTCAAGGTCATGAATTGCATAGAAATATAACTTCAGTCATCTCAAAATGTTACTCAGCATTCATTCACACTTGGAAAGTCCCAGTAATATGAGAGGAAGCAAAACAGACTAACTTGCCTACAATGCATGTATTTACATTCAATTGGAATTAATTTACGTAATAATATTTTAAAATAAATCAAATGCACTTATCCAAACAAAGTCTGATTCAAGGTATATTTTAAGTATATATAAAATACAAATAAAAGTCTTCAAAACTTAAATTCTTTGGATAAAACCAATTTTCAATTATTTAAAGATAAGTTAGCTCTAAAGTAGTAAGAAATGTAAACATCAGATAAAAATCTTAAGGAATAACAGCTTTGTCATAAAGTGCTGGCATATGCTATCAGCTTTATTTTCCAGATGCTAAAAAATAGTTGCAATTTCAATTCAGGAATATTTTGGCAGAATTTTAAATTACAACAACTTAAAACCCACTCCTTTTTACCTTTATTTACACTGCTTTTTGGCATTTTCTTCTTTAAGTGAACTTTAACTTCTACATATGTATAGAATAATTTGTGGTTTTAACTTACCCAATTGAAACTGGAGTCCATGATGGCAGAAAATTAATCCAAAGGTCAGGTAAGACTCCAGCTGGGAAAAGCCAAGGACTTCGAAAAGTAAGGGTGTAAAGTACCTGAGCACAATTCAACAGCTGCCCCCTGCAAAGTATTTCTGCAGTTATTTATACAATCAGTACCACTGAGAAAAGCTCCATGAGAATTAATAGACAGAGGAGACCTGGTGTGGTTCACTCACACCCAGCTATCAGAGCTTTGTCCCTGCTGAACAAACCTGTTACTTTATTTCACATGAAATTTAATCTTGGAGAATTTCTTCTTCTGACAAACACAAGCTGAAAAGCCTTACATGTCTTACACCTCAGTCAGCTTTCCACTTGTCAACGTGAGCATCCCCTCCAAGCAAGACAACAGTCCTGAATTCCCCGTGCATTTTGGTGACCTTACACTGGAATCTGTTTGGGAAAAACCTGTTCATTCCTTGTGTGAACAAAGATTAAACACAACCTTTTACCTCTCATCAGGTTCATCTCTCAGCCATATTCCACAATGCCAATCTGCCCAACTACTGACAAATCCACAGGCACACTTGAAAAAGATTATCAGATTGTGGTATTTTATTACAGAAAACAAATCCAATTTGAAGACAATCAAATTTAAACTTTGAGGAGTGGAAAATCTTGAAATATTTTAAAGTGGCATTTACTTTCAAAATATCTCTAAGAGTTTTAATAAATTCAATGCCCAAAAAGGCTCACAGGCTCTGTTATGATTAAGGGGCTTATTTTATGAGTATTACTTTCAGGTTGTTAAGGCACAACTGGCATTTGCTTTAAGACAAAACTTGACACAGGCATTATTACCTCAGAGCCAGAAACAAGATAAAGTGGAAGGCACAGAACTTTTAAAAATACCACTAACCAAACCAATTTTAAAGGCTTAAAACAAATGTTAGGTAGTTGGTCTTGAAATACTAACACACTGCAGTCCATTTCTCAGAGCAGGCGTGAAGCTGAGTAAGTATGGACAACTAATTGACAGCAAGATACACTTCTACATTAGAGGGGCACAGAGAAAAACTGTTAATTGCTGTTTCACTGGCAAAAAGGGTTATTTTCAGTTTACTCTTAACTAGAGGCTTTGTGTTTTGGGGCTTGTTTGTGTTGGATTTTTTGGGGGGGATTGTTTTGGGGTTTTTTTTTAAGATAAGGAAAAATCAGTACAGGTAGATTATACTATTTCAGAGGTTTGATCAAAGCAAACCACCCAGTTCAAATATTCACATCAGCATAGGAACCTCATCTTCAAATGTAGTTTATGGTAAGAACCAAGGACCATAAGCACAAAACTGACAATCTACCTGTTTTCTATGCCCAGTGTTGCAGAGATCCAACACAGCATAACCACACAGAATATGCATGATAATGCCCAAGTGGACCAGCTCCGTAAGGCAGAACTACTAGTGATCCTAGAGGTAAAACAGGTTTCCAAATGGCCTCAACAGATGTACCATAGTCCCAAAACATACCAAATTTAGCCTCTATTCAAAGTGGTGAGAATGGTAGCAAGCAACTCCAGTAAACCAGCAAGGTTCAGCTTCCCTGCTTCCCTTCCCAATCTCTTACTAAGGGAGTCCTAAAAGCATGCATGTGTTCAACCACTGTTTGGCAAAGGCTATGCTGAAATTCATTTGCAGGTTTCAGTTTGTTCACTCTAGCATCATCTTTTGACTAGAACTTGAAAAGTGCAAAAATATTTAATTATATCTTCTTAAAAAAAATAATTCATTTTATTGGCGCAACAGCTCCAATTCCTCAGGAGTTAAATCCACTGCCAGCAATGGATAGAAAAGGAGGCACCAGCATAAAAGAATCAAAGTGCATTTCCAGTATGCCAATGCTGCACAAATTGGCAAGCCAGAACCTTTTTTTCACCACTGGAACAGATTATTCTGAACTCATTCCGTGCAAAGTCTGTGTTCCACATTAGCACACAAAGTCTGTCACCAAGTCTTGGGGATACTGCAGTGAGTCGTCGAAGCGGAAGCGTTTGGAGAGCGTGCTGCTGTCCTCTGGGATGTTCTCCTTGTCCTCCTTGTCACTGCAGCTCCCACTGCAGCTGGATTTTACACTCCACTCTTCTGAGCACTTGGCTGTGTGTCCTGGCAGCTGAGAGGAGCAGCAAATCTCTTCAGGGCTGCACAGGAGCGTGAGCTCCCCTTGCTGCAACCACAAATGGGACAGACAGTCTGCTGCAGTGGGCCTGTCCCTTCGCAGGGAGAAAGGGAAAGGTGCTCCAGTTAGTTTCATCAACACTCAAAAACTAAAATAGTTCTGATGCTAAAAATCCTAACCAAAATGAACACTGAAGAGTCAATATTGGTGTGTTTACACCCCTACCTCAGCTGCTACAAAACACACTTAAGTATGGGCTACATGCCTCTAAATTCAGCTGATGGTTTATCCTAAAGCTGGTAAGCTTTCCATAGAACAAGGAACATAGTCCCTGGGGATGTTTTCAACATGGTCCCTTGGAATGTTTTCAACATGGCACACATTAATGGGCACTTGCTTTTCCTTTTAAAGTAATATGTTTTATACAGACCATAAACAGTGAGGCTCATTAAATCATGCTTTCAAGGACAGCCAAGTTACCAGGATGTCATCAACTCTGACATCTTCTAGTGTTTTACTCTTGCAATTGATCTGGCATAAATTCTATCAAAATGTAGATCCTACCAAACAAACCAGACTTAGAAAACTGCTCCTCTGGATAACCTAGTACAGTGCAACTGCAAGTTTTAATTGTGTTCTGCATTGTTTACCTCCACAGAACTTGCCAGAAAACTGGCTCCAAGACAGCAGAGCCCACTATTTGTCCCTAACTCCACCAGAACACAGGAATATTTTTCAGTCAGAAAAGTGTAACTTTACAGAGCTGACTGAGTCTCTGAGAACAGACTTTTCCTCTTAAAATTCAAGGAGGTATAGTCATCAAGAATTAGAATGGGAATAAAAAAAGTCAGCTTATTGAGTGTATAATGAAGACTCTTGAGATGCCCAGGAGAAAATGAGAAGTAATTGTGACAGAATGTCAAAATATCCCACAGGTCCACGATAAGAGTTATCAAAGCAGGTTCTTAGTCACTGATTCCTTTTTTTCTGGGTGCTGCACAAACATGAAAGACAGGAGTCCCTCATGATACTGGGGTTTTGTGAATCATTTCATATCCTGACAAACTGTGATTGTGAGATGCTAAGACAGGAAGGACTCTTCAGACTTTACATGGAGTCCCAATTGCCTCAGAGCAGCCAATTCCCAGGAATCACCTTCCATCCTCTGCTGCTGTCCAAGAGCCTCTCTCAGGCAGGCAGGCTGAGAGGCTCTCTGAAGGTGACAAGGGTTACTGCCTCACCACAGGTGACCATATCTAGCACTGCAATCAATAGTACCTGACCAGCTCACTTCTCAAAGTTCAGCTTCTTTGCAAGGTCTTGATTAGAGTCTGAACTCCCAAAGAACGCAGAGTTAAGGGAGTGTGCCTTACAAACAAACAAGTTTTTGCTTTGGATTGGGATCATTTTTAGAACACCGAACATGGCAAAACACTGCCAAGTATAAAAATATAGTAAGAGAGGTATTTAAGTAAAAAGACAAAGGTGAGCCAGGAAACAAGAAAGCACTGCAAAAAGATTGCACTGCATTTCCAAACTACAACAATTATAGAAAAGAATGTGACCTTCCTAGAGTACACTTTAATAAAACCTGTTAAAAATCTGTCATCTGAATGAAAATATAAAGAAACTCAAACAAAAACAAAAAACCTCGAAGAACAACCCTGATTAATAATAACATTATCTGTGAAAATAATAAAAATAATATCCGACAATTTTAGGCAGACATTCAATCCAAAATTCTTCTCACACATTATAGAAAAGCATAAACCCACACTTTAAAATATCCGGTTGAAAATACCAATATATTGTGAAATATCCAACTGATCTTATCAGTGACATTAAGTGCATAAATTAACATTCAATTTTCTAGGTGCTCCACAAATTTAGGATTCTTGCCTGGAGGAGTTTGCTACTTACTCTGGACTTTTTATGAGAAGTTTTTGAATGAAGTCTTTTGCAGGCTGTGAAACTGATGAAAATATTTCTTCTGAATAATCCACGTTAACTTGAGATATATTAAGGTAAGTTTCTTGAACATCAGCTCCCACAAATGGAGATTCTTGTGTCAGCAGCATGTATGAGATGACACCGATGTTCCTGAGATAAGAACACAATGTACAAACCCACTAGAGAACAAAATGTACAAACCCACTAGAGAACCTAAACAATATACCCTGCATATTTACTGTGCTGCAAATCCTGACATATCCCACTCTCAGAGTTACAGCCAACATGTTACACCTCACTTTTATGTAATTCAAACATGACTGCACATAGACACACAAGGAATGATATGTCATGTATATGTCTCAATGAAGGGATTTTTGAAAACTTTCATTTCAATAGACCCTTTTCTTCCTACTGAGATTGTTAGGAAAAGAAAATACCACTTTTACCCAGCCCACTCTTGGGTCATGTGGCAATTCTGGATGATAGAGCTGCAAAAAAGACAGACTTTCTAATCTGCATATATCTTGCACTGCAATTCTGGATAACAGAGCAAAGACTTAATGAACTTCTCTGTACATTTGACATCTGAGTTGTGTTACAATCTCTTCTAGCTGAGATGTTCCTCCCAAGAGCATGAACATGAGTGCCACAGATCATGCAACCTGTTATAAATCTTAAGGTGGTTTCTTGATGCATAATAGAAACATTTTTGTGATCTGACAGATCATAATCTAGTAGTCATTAGTGTGGAAACATGCAGCTGGGTTTGTCATTGTGAGCACAGCATCAACTGGGGTTTTCTTAGGCCTTCCCACAAAAGCAGGCAAATAATATGTGATGAAAAAACATTCATGAACAGATTTAGTTACTATTCTAAGTTGAAGATTTATAAGGAGCAACTAGCAACTTTTAACAGTGAATATTAATTGAGATGCTGAAGATGTTATGTTTAAAGGAAACATTTCAAAGCTAGTCTTTAACATAGCACATAAAATTAAAACACCACAAGAAGTTGTGGGTCATTTCAAGGTATTTGTAATTTTTTATGATTCACTCTGCAGATATTTCTCTAAAATAAGAAGTAGGAAGTTGACATCCTTCTTATAATTTGTATCAAAGCTTTTTTAACGATGTAGAAGTGGGGAGGGAAGTGTGCTAGAGTAGCAAATACCTGAAGCATGTCACCCGGGAGTAAGTAATACCTCAAGTATGTTATCCAGCCACTGTTATTATTCCCTCAGAACAAACACCTATCCTCCACAGGATCAGAAGCCACCTGCATTTCCCACTAAGTGTGCAACAGATCCATGAACTCCTGTAAGTCCTGAGGGCTTCATCCCCTCCCATCCTCCCCTCCCTCTTTCAGCCAGCCCACCAAGAGAAGGGGTTTCCTGGAAGCCAGATGAAACTGCATCAGGCCCTTAGATTGTTAAGGGGTCCCACCAAGCCCCAGTAAAATGAAGATCAAACCTACCACATGTCTGTAGCTGTGGTAATAGGCTCATAGTTCAAGATTTCTGGAGCTAGAGATGGGGAGAAGAAAAATGCTTTAATAAATATCTTATTCAAATGGCCTTGAATCATACATTACATTTCTGGCATTCTTTTGCCAACCATTACTGTAAGACTCAACATGTAGTTTCAATAATTAGATTTATTATTTCTAAGCCACAAGGTGGCAAAAAGTCATTTCCATTTGCCTAGACACAGATGGTTACTTGGTTCACACCAAAGTGGCACTACATGGCCTCAAGTTTGTCCAAGTTTCAAGATGTGTTCTAATCAGATGCATGCACATACATTTTTCTCCTAAGAGGATTTTGAATTCTACAGCTTTTTAATAGGAATGTATAGAGCCTTCAGCATGTTAAAGCAAGATGACCAAGCCAATTTTAGGATCAGTGGCTGTTAGCATAGGCTAGGTTGCAAGTTATTCACTGCAGAATGAAGTGCTCTTAACACTGAGTGTTGGCAAATCACAAAGGAAATTTGTCCCTCAGAGAGGGCCAAGCGTTAACAGCAATCTTTTCCTTTCCAACAAATATTTTAATCTAATTAAATCATCATACTGAATAACATTAAAGATGTTACATCAATTCGAAGAACATTTCTTTGTGTATGCTAATATTGTATTTAAATTCTGATCAGAACCATTGAACAGCACATAACACAGCAAATACTACAGTGTAAACCTGAGAGCTGCACTGATTGATATAATTTGGGATTTTTTGGTGCAAATATTTGTTGACTACTCTTAAAAAAGAGCAGCTGAAACATGTTGCCTTGTCCTGTGATGTTCTTTATCAGCTCGTAAGTTGCTCAGTGTGCTCCATGAACTGTTCCTGCTCTCTGGAGAGCCTACATGAGAGGCTGTGAAGCAGCCCTTCCATACCGAGGTACTCTGTGGTTCCCATGATCTGCCGCAGTTCATTGCAATTCTCAAGCTTCCGGGACATCCCAAAATCCACAATTTTTACATCACCAAGAGGATTGATGCTGCTCAGCAAAATATTTTGAGGCTAGAATAGAAAAAAATTGCATTCCTAATTAATAAAATGCAATCAGAAAAAAATGCCCCATGTTCTAAATGACACTTCAGCTTCTATTATGAAATACTTATTGCTAAACACTGTTTAAAAATATTTAATCTCTATCCTTTTAATCTCATTTTAATATCATTTAATCTCCCTCTCATCATCTTTTTAATGTATTTAACAAATTACTTGGATGAACAGAATAAATTAAAGTGCTAAAACAAAGCCTGCTGCAGCCTCACCTTTAAATCAAGATGAACAATATTGTTTTCATGCAAGCAGCAAAGTCCTTCGAGTATTTGCCTTATAAGCCTTACAATATCCCTTTCACAAATTCTGTCATCCAGATCTGGGACACACAAGTCAAATATTTCTCCTCCAGCAGCACTGAAACACATTGAAGAATATCTATGTATTAAATTTAAATTTTGAAACTTTAGCAAGGAAAAATGTTTTTAATAGCACATATTTATCTAACATATATCTGTAATATCAGAGAGGCTGGGAATATTTTTCTTTTTACACATTTACACTAAAACACTTAATGCAAACACTTAGAAAAGGGGGAAAAATGTGATGATGTTTTTTCTTTCCTTATAGCCTGAAACAGCAGTTAAGACAGCAAAAAGCATTTGACTGGTAACCTCATAATGTTCTGTTCCCCTCAAGCAAGCAGGAAGATGCCTTCCAGAAGCTGAGTTCTATCATCAGTCCCTAATCAAAGAAGCCTTTCTTTTCAAGTCAAATCTAAAATGTCTTCCATGAGACCAGTTCATAAATAATTCAGAGCAGTGTAAAGCAGCATGGAAATATCTGTGCTCCTGTGGTTTATGAGTTATTCCTACACTTGGCTGCAGTGTCAGCTGTCTCCTTTCAGGCTGGGTTTGAGATCATTACTCAGCCTGCTCTGAGTGCCTCAAGTCTCTCTCTCAAGGATGAAGGGCTTCCTCAAAACTACAGATCACTGAGCCTAAACCTCATTGCTAAGTTCACTAAACTCTCCAAAATGAGAGTCTGGTAAAAAGTCAGGTGTTGGACAAAATGAACGAACACAGCCACAAACCTGCTGAGGTTATGTGAGGTGTCAGTAATGCCTCCCCCAGGTGACCTTATGGACATGAGGGGAAGGGGCAGAGGATGCCATGGATTTCAACTCTCAAAAGGTTTTCAGCCCTGGCTCCCAGTGTTGCTGTACTCAAGTTATATTATGGTCTGGATGGGTGGGGACCCACAAGGGTAAAGAGCTGAAAGCTCTGCAGGAAAGGATTGCAAAAAAATCAAGAACAAATGCTATGTTAGGGGTCAGCTAGTTCCAGGGGGAAAAAAAGTTTTCAAAGATAGAATCTAGCTAAATTCCTTCAAATTTTCCAAAGAATATACCATGGTGTACAGAGACCACCATTAACAGCACTTCAAATACTTTGTACGTGAAGCTTAAAGCTTAGAAAGAATTAATTTCACAGGCTGTATTTTTGTTCCTTACATTCCACACAAAAATTTACACATCAAACAAATATGATAGATAATGCAAATTTAATTCCCAAATTAAACTTATTTTTCAGAGCTAATAAGAAGCTCTGGGGACATCTGTAAAAAAATGGGATTTTTTTAGGAAACTGTTCAAAAGTCAATTTTAAAACAACAAAATCACTGAATTTAGGAGCTCAAAAAAACCAAATTAACTGTAAGTCTCCGGTCACCAAAAAAATATCAAGTGCTAACTTGAAGTTCACAGGCATGGATGTGCTCAACCTCTTCGAAATCTGTGTACTTGGAACCAATGACTTTTTTTTTGTGTGATTTAAGTTGCATCAAAGCACTCAGGACCTTCTGCAGTATTCCAAGAACATTATTTCCAGTCAGCTTGCCTGAAACATCCTTAAAGGAAAAAATATAAAGTATATTACAATGAAAGATTAGCATAATGTGTACAGGGTACTGCTGCAATTCTTCTGGGCATTCAGGCAACTCATGCAAAAAATTAAAATATCGAAAGATGCTTTCCTGCAAACATGGAACATGTGATGAAGGCATACTTACTATTCCAACACTAAGATGATTTCATTTGCTGTCTCATAGACTTCATGCAGATTAACTATGCGAGGATTGGATTTCATTAGTTCAAGGACAGCAATTTCATGCACAATCTCTGCTTTGCAGTCTTGACCTCTTCTCCTTTTCTTTAAAAATTTAGCTGCATACTCTTGGCCTGTGGATTTAGCTACACATTTTCTAACCACAGCACATCTTCCTCTACAAAATAAAAGGGAAAATACTGAGATGCAGGAAATCAAAAGCGCATAAATTAACATTAGAAATAAGACACAGCAAATAACTGCAAACAAACAAAAACAATGTACTGGGAAATGCCATGCTTGGCCTGCTCTTACACTGTTTCCTGAACATTCACTTGCAGGCACTGTAGAAGGACACTGAGCTAGATGAAGCTCTGGTGAGACCCAGGAAAATTCCCTTTATACAGCCTAGCTAAACATTACATCAGAGTATCAGGTTACAGGGACATTCTCATGGTCAGGTCACAGAATAATTTGGTTGGAAAGGACTTCTGGAGGTCCCTAAAAACCTCCTGCTTAAAGCAAGGCTGGCCATGAGGTCTTACCAGACTGCCCAGAGCTCTGTTCAGGCTGGCAAGATATTAAAAAACCCTCAACCTCACTAAAACACCTACAGGACAGTAACAAACAAAGCAAACCCCTATGAAATGCAGGGAATGAACAGGAAAAATAAAGCACATTTAAATGCATGGGTGGGGCACGAGGTTTTCAGTGAAAAAAAAATTTTAGTCATAAAGGGAATTTCCTTCCACAAATCATGTAGTACTGATACAAAAATCCCAGGTATCTGCAAAATGTGTCATAACATCTTAATAGAAAAGCACCCACCACTTAGCATTCTCTTCCTCAATTACAGTTAGACAAAGTGTGCCACTTTATTTCCTAGCCAACTGTTTAGGTATGGAAACAAAAACATATTCTGGCAAAGAAATGTTTTTAGAAGAAAATCGCATACTGTAGTTAAAACATCAAGCTGATCTTTGAAAAAATTAGAAGGAAAAAAATTGCAGTTTTTTAAGCCAAGTTAAAAACTCCTGTAAAAAGATTTATAGTTACTAATATTGCATTCCCATAAATGCCTGGTTGCATACATGCAAAGTGTTTTCAGATTGTAAAGAGAAACCTTACATACAAAAACCATATTTATTTAAAGAAACCTTATTTACAAAAACACAACTTGAAAGGCTGCAATAAACTGCGAGTAAAGTTCTAAAATCAGCATCAAGCCATGTACAAAGTGCACAGCCTACATTTATCTCTCCAAAATGAGCCTGTCCACCTGTATTTTTTGTTACCACAGCATACTAAGGACAATCATAATGCAACAGCTCAGAATGAGCTATTTGAGCTGTGTTCTTTAAACTAAATTAGCTTCTTTAGTAGAAAATACCACATTGCCTTACAGGCTTTGCCTTTTTTCTGGTGCAAAAATCCCAGTGCTTAAAAGGAACATTTCTTAAAAAAATATTTAAAAAAAAGAATCTAGACTTCAGTATTTAATCAAAACAGGGATAAGCATCACATGCAAAAAAACCAAATTTTCATTTGCAAATAACTGCATAAAGGTGCCTAAATTATTAAATATTTAAAGATGACTTTGAATCATACTGCTACAACTTAAAAATGAATTCAACAAAACAGGACTTCTGTCATCATTTATTTCAACATCAATTAGTTGTAGATTTTCTCTACCCTTTTTTGAAAGCACTAAACTTTAGAGATAAAAGTTATTTAGAATACAGGCACACTCTTCACCTTAGCAACTATCTGTAAGCCTGAAACAGCCACGTTCTTTCCCAATTGTTAACCCAGCTTATTACTGCAGAGCATTTGAAGTTACTGAGCTCAGCCTCATAACACACACAAGTTGGAAACACTCCTCCCCTCCAGTTCACATTCTCTTTTTAGCATCACATCAACCCTGCCAGCCACCAAAGTGCCTCTAAAATTAACAAAGGGGAACCAGTTCAGTTTCATGAGAACAGCACGATCTTCCCCAGTAGTTTTGGCACATCTTCCTTCTGGCTCCTGTGGGCTTAACAACTCTGAAGCGTCCGTGATACTTCCAGATTTGAGAGGTAAGAATTTCCACTTGTTTATTAGTAGAGTGCCAATTAACACAAAAAAATTAAGGCAAAAAATAAGACAAAAAAAGTCTTTTAGAGCTGTGGAAATTGCTCCAGAAACACAAAAAAGTCAGCTCGGAAGTGCTGCACTGACGCAAGCGAAGCAGTTCCCGCTCCTGGCCTGTGCAACCATCCCCCCTCAGAGCCCAGCTCGACAAGAAAAACTGATTTCAGGATGTTTTCATATCTCAGCTCAGAAACCACAGAAATTTAAGTACTTCAAAAGAAGCCAAGCCATGCACACACCAGGGACAGAACTACTTAACCCACTAAACAGAACCTAACCTGCCAGCTTCGTGAGTCAGTGTCTTAAATACCAAAGGACCCAGCAGATAAGGGTGTGGGAGGAAGAAATGGGGCTTGGGAAGCTTAAGCAGAGAACAAGAGAACTATTTACTACATAATCTCAACAGGAAAAAGACAACTGCAAGTGAAAATTAAAGCATATTAATCCTTCAGAGAGGTTACAAAGAATAGATGGATTTTACATCACTCAAAAAGCATTTATACACTTAAAAACATTAAAACATACACATGTAGTTAGGCCAGGAGAAATCACAAATATGTTTGTAAAACAGAGTCGTGCTTCACTTTTCTTTGCGTTTTGGCACTTACTTTGTTATGCCTGGTTTTGCACACATAGAAAAAATTAAAAGCTCAGTTCTGGAATTCACACAAAATCTACACTTTTGTTTGCTTTAGTATATCATCTCACAAGTATGTAGAGTCTGAAAATCCAGCGCTGGAACAATACCTGAGTTCTAGAGGGTGCTGCATATAAACTGCTTCTGTAGGGCTTAGAATTCAAAAGCAGAGCTGACAAAAGTTAAGAAAAGAAGAAAGTTATGGGCTGCAATGTGCACTTCTATAAAAGCGTACCAGATAAAAAGCACATGCTAGAAAAACAGAAAAAAACCCAAGAGAACAATGAAGGCTGAGGAGCTCACACACCACATGCAGAAGAGCATCTCTGCTGACAAAAGGAGCTGCAGGTGCAAAGGGTCCTTATGCAGCACAGCTGTGAGACTGCCCTGGCACACTGCTGTTCAGGGAGCTTGGAAACAGATCACAGCATGTGTCTGCGTGGCTTTGCACCCAATTCACTGAGTGTCTCAGGGTGTGAATTAACCCAGTGATTTCAAAACACACATCCACTCGTATGCCAGAAACAGTGTCATAAACACCGAGGGTTTGGGTGCTTTGTTGCTTTATTTCCTATTTTACTGTTGCAAACAAGAGCAAGGGAAGCAGGCTGCAAAAGTGCTCTGAAATAGCAGCTGGTTTGAACTCAGTCTAACTGCTTGAGGCTGGGAAGGGGAGAGAAAAGGTCTTTGTTTTCTGGGTTTCAGATAACTCACCCAAACACTTGGAGCAACCAACTCAAAATCCTCATTTTTTTTCTTTTAGTATCACTTTATGTCATCTCTTGTTTAGGCCATGCCCCTGGAATCTATGTGGCAGGGAAAGGAAGATAATCCCAAATCTACCTGCCTATGAAAACCCTCCAGATCTCTGTGACATGGAACAGGCTGGCAGCTTATGCCTCACTGTCCCTTTTCCTGGTCCCTAAAGAACCCACTGTGATGCAAAGAAGGGGACAGGGAAGGAGAAGGGCATACTTCATTCTCCATCTACTACCACAAAGGTTTGTTTCATTGTACAGAGAATTTTCTTGCAGCAGAAATTCCTCTGCTCAAATAAAATAAATGGGAATAATCTTACCTTCCTAGCTCTTTTGATTCAAGCATATAAAAATTGTAGAAGTTTTCTGTCTTGATTGGTGTGTGCAGAGATGTGGCCAACAAGCCAGAAAGGCTTTTGTTCTCCAGCTTTCTCCTCGACATGGTCAGGAGCAGCAGGTCTCTCTCTTACACCAGCCACCTGCTGAAGCAAAACAATTAAGAGCCTTGGAAATTGCATAGTTACAGCCCAGGAAAGTATACAAATATTGTGAGTTTAGGGCTATAAAACTAGAACAGCCAGAACTTGGTTCAGTAGCAGCCTGAAAACAACACATTTAATCACTGTAAAAATAAAACCTGAAAGGAATACTAATCAAGACATGCTAATTTAATAATGTAAACACTCCAGATAAGTTAGGTTTTTTTTTTCTCCCTGGAGCATATCCATAAGATACTAGGGATAAGCTTTAGTTCTAATAAAAATGCTAATAGCTACTTAACTATTAATGAGATGTAGCTTTTCTTAATCTTTCTGAAACTCTTCGCTGGATTCTGGGTAACTTCCACACTTCCTTTAAGTTTACCCTTTTAACAGATATTTGTTCCTGGTGGAATTTACCAAAACTCCTTCCTGTTTGTTAACTGCAACACAGCAGGAAGAGGTGACAACAGGACAAAGTGGGGTTCTTTTCCCAGTGGGAATATTCACATTTGTTATTAGGCTCACTCATAGTTCCTCCAAGTTTCCTTTTTAAGGCCGAGTTGATTGTCAGAGAGAAGCATGAATGGACAAGGTCCTCTTTGCAAGTTCAGATCATTTAGAATCAAATGATGTAGTAATCCTGATTAAATTACCTTAATAAACCAGTAGAACAGCACATTATGAAGATACACCCACCCACATCATTTCTACTACAGTGAAAAAAAACCCCAACAAAACCAAACCCAATAAAAATTAAAAAATACCAAACTGGGGTTTAGTATTCACGTTTATAGGCCTGAAGCATCTCTTCAGGTGAAATGCAAAAGCAAGGCAGAAAAGGGTTACTGAAGGATACCAGAAGTAGTAATTGATGGCTTCTTTAAGCTAAAGAGCAGGTTTACCTTTATTAGTGAAAAAAAAGGCAAATTGCAATTCAGAGACAGTTAGCAAGCTCACAAAAATACACCTGCAGTTTAAATGAGAGACATGCACTGTCAGACACTTCTGGGGGAGCACTCGAAGTAGTTATGATCCAAATGCAACCCATTACCCATCCAGCATTGTTCACATTCCCATGTGGGATGGAACATGCTTATTCATATTAGAACTATTTTGGATTCAAATCATTGTACATAATTTAGCAGGACAAAGACACAAACTACATAGTTTAAAAATATCTTCAAAGTATCATCTGATATGCAGGAAATAGCTTCTTTAAGAAATTATGAAAAGGTCAAAATACAATCTAATACACAAGCCTTTGACTCACTCTGTAACAAGCAAGCATTCCTTCTCCCCCATTATATGACAGTTTAGCATTTAAGAGGATGATTTTGATGTCTGAAGTTTTACATGACTCTCCTTAGAGCTCTGCTCCCTCGATAACTTTAACCCCTAAACTGTATCTTCTTCCTGCTGTACTTCAGCAGAAAACCATTTGTGTTCGATAACTGGCCTCACTGACTGACAGCTTACCATTATCAAATTTATTACCATTATCGAGCTTATTACGTAAGCTTTCATCGTACATGGTCATGTGTACAGAGCAATTATTAAGAACTTCTGCCTCACATTGCCTTGAAGTTGTTTCTCCGGTAAGACACCACATCTCTTTTTTTTAGCCCAGTATCATCAAGAATAGAGAAGAACTCATACCCATAGCAGGCAGAAACCCACAAAGAAGCATGTAATCTACTCAGGAGAATGAGATTCAACCAGCTATGGGGGAAAAAAAGGCTTCCCACTAAACTAGGGAAGTTTACCGAGAAAAAAGTCAGCTGTTTTAACCTTTTCTAAAGACGTCAAGTCCCTGGTCTGGGCCGGGAAGACGTTTGGCAGCGAAGGACCACGGAGGGCGGCAGCGGCCGGGCGGGACCGGCCCTGTCCCCGCGGGGCAGCCCCGACTCCCCTCACGGGCACCCCCGCGCTGCCCCGGCGCGACCCGGCACCGGGCGGGGAGGCAGCGCGGCGCCTCCACCGCGCCCAGCCAGCAGCACAGCACAGCGGCCCCCCGGCCGGGCACATTCCCCGCTCCCCCGGGTCCGAGCACGCTCCCGCTCTCCCCGGCCGGGCACACTCACCGCTGGCCGCCGCCCGCCGTCCCTCACGGCTCCGCTCCCGCTCTCTCGCCGCCTCTCGGCGTTTGAAAGCCGCAAGCCGAGGGGAGCGGCTGTCCCAGCGGCGCGAGCGCCACGCCCCGCCCCCTCGGCAGAACAGCCAATCCGCGCCCAGCCGCGGCGCCCAGCGGCCCAGCGATTGGCGGGAGCGCCCTCCGCGCGGGCAGCGCCCTCTAGCGGCTGCCGGGCCCCAGCGGCAGGTGCCGCCGGGCCGTGAGGGCGCTGAGGGCTCGGCGTGCGCGGAGCCGCTTCGGGCCACGGGGCACCGACGGCGCGTCCCGGCCCCGCTGCTGCGCCGCCAAACCCCGCTGCGAGGGCTCCTCGGCGCGTCCGCTGCATCCCCGAGCGCTGGGCAGCGGGGCACGGCCGAGGCAGCGGGGCAGGTCCCGGTGTAGACGCCGTCCCCGCGGTGGGAGCCGGGGACGGGAGCCGCGCCCGCAGCGCTTCCGCTCGTCCTGGTGCGGGACGCGGGGACGGAGGCGCCGCGCGGGCCCCGCGGAGGCTCCGAGACCACGGCACCGGGCCGGTCCCGTTAAAAACCCAGCGATAAAGCGGTTCTCACCCGCAGCTGCCGGGGACAGAGCGCTTGCAGTCCGCATGTATAAGCACAGGGCCCGCACGGAGCACGTTGGACAATCTCGTAGTCATGCATGCAAGGGGAAACAGGGTCTTCAGAGCCGTGAGCAGCTCTGAAGAAAAAAAAAAAAAAAAAAAAAAAAAAAAAAAAAAGTTAAAAGACTCCAACCTGTGGTTTCAAAGACTCTTTCCAAGGACTGAAAATAGCCTAAAGCATGGTTCAGAAATAAGTTGAAGTTAGAAAGAGTTCTAAAATAGTTGCAATTTGTTTGTCAAATGGGTTTCCTCTGAAGCAATCCAAGGAGCTAGAATTTGCAAACATCCGTTTTGTAATACTTTTGTCATGAAGTCAGCAATAGTAACGCAGCATAAGAGTTTAAGTGTATTTAATTTCAGCAGCGCACCATTAGAGTTACTGGGTTAATTCTGTTTGTGCCATGGCACTGCCAGTGAAATGGGTAATTGCTGTGTTTATTACAGTGCCTAAGTCATGCAGTCACAGCAAGGCTTGCATTAAGATGAAAGTAACATAAATGAAGATAAGAAAGCAGAAAGTATTTTTGAAGAGTCTAGAATATGTCACACCATGTAGCTGGCACACTGAGGTACCTACTGAAAACATGTAACTCCTGCTTGCTTGCACTTCCATCTGGCTTTTTAGCACTTTGAGCTGTGGATATTTTTGACAAAAGCAGTCCAAAATCTTCACTGTCTCCCACAGAGTTCCACCATCTCTGCAGGGTTCCAGATCATACCCTTTCTTGATTAGAACATGATTTCAAATACATCTGTCAAATAAAAAGACAACATGCGGACAGGATTGGTTTTGTTGAGAAGTGCTCTTTGAGCAGTATGAAAAGCAGGCAGCATTCCAAACATACCAAATGAGCCGCAGAGTAAATTTAAATGATGCCCACAATTAAGATGTTTTAGGTTATTATAGTGGTGCCAAGAAGTAAATGACAGTGCTTATGTTTGTCTCCTTAGCTGCTTTTTTGTCTTTACTGATGCTCTTCAGGGTTTGCTCTACTCTCCCTTTAAGTTTTGAAAACCAAGCAAATACCAAAAATGCTCCGTGACATGCATGTTGTTGTACTCTTGGTTATCTGTTTCTATAATGCCATGGAAACATGAATGGCACTTGGAGAAGGGTATAATTGACAGGACTCCACCCTGAGGACTTTGGAATTTTACTGAGATACACCACAACTGAGAAGGAAAACAAAGGTGGAGGAGGAGGAATGGGTAGGCTGAAGGTCACAACAGCACAGGAGCACGAACTATTATTATTCCTAATGTATACACCTGGTCTGTGGGATAATTAAAAAATAGCAATTAAAGGTGTTAGCTTCATAACTCCCATTCTTAGTTACTACTCTGGCTTACCTTGATTATCGATCCATTACAAAGCTGGCTCTTTTCAGCCTGTAGAGGCTTTCAGGAAAGAACAATTTCCACTTGATCAGCAGCCATTTGGCACAGCTGCATGCACAGCCCCGGTGACCAGAGGACAGGTGTTCCAGGCAGCAGCCTTGTGCAAAAAGCTCTGCTCCCTCCAGGAATGCTGGGTTCAGCTCAGGTCTGTCATGGGCTGGTGATGTTGGAAGAGATGGCAGCCTACCCTTCTCAGCAGGGAACTGCACAGTGGGGACAAGCACACGACATTAAGAGCTGCACAGCTGGAAGCTCAGAGTGTCTGAGCCTTCTCCAACTCGTTTTTATTTAATATAGGTAGTTTTGGAAAAAATCTGATTCCCCCCACGCTAAAATCTCTGCACCACCTTCTCACACAAGGCAGTCCTCAGTGCAGTGGGAAATGCTGGATTCCACACAGGCACTGCTTCCCACAGCTGCCTCAGTGACACCCAGCACGAGCTCCAGGCCAGCTCCAGTGTTTACTCCGAGGGAAAGTGAGTGACTGTGCACTACGTGGCATCAGTTATCAGCGACCCGGCCGAAAATATCTCATGAGTCTGACATCAAGAATGACAGAGAACAGATTCTGGAAGGGCCTCTTCCCACAGCAGCTCTCCGTCAGCGACTCAGGTTAGCTCGCACCACATCTCGAGTGGCAGCAAGAGAATGCAAAATCACCTTCTGGAAAAAGTTTTTTAAAAATGGAAATATCACTTCACTATCAGATTCTCCAGTTTGTTTAACACAGGGGAAGTGACAAGTTGCCATTTAACCATTCTCCTCGGGCTGTGTCATGGTGGGGAGAACCCTTGCCTAAGAGCTGACTAAAGACCAGTTTCTCTCACTCTAACCACTACCATCTCTAAGAAAAGGAAATATTTGGTGGGGGCCACTGACTTTTATTAAAGACAACAGAATGCATTTCCCCCTGAAGGTATTTCCCTGTGAAAAAGAGAGCTTTCCTGTGTTATAGCCACTGCTGGGAAGTATTTTGCTGCTAGCTCTGATGCTCCATTCAAAAGCAGAGGCTCTTCCAGGAGGCCCAAACCTCTCCAATGTGTTTGCTGTGATATCTGGTGCTTTGTTTGTCATAAGTGGTTTTTTTGGTTTTTTTTTTCATATGTAGCTCTTATCCAAATTATGTTGAATATGGCTGCAGAATCCTTAATTTCCCCACTTCCAAAATCATGATCTGTAATATGTCAGACTCCACAGGCCACCAGAAACCACTCAGCAAAGGAGATGACAGAAAGACTATCTTGTGGTTTCCCTAAAGGTTTTTAAATGCTGCAAAAGACAGAATGCTCTAAAGGTACTCACTTCAAAAAGGATGTTACAGCATATTCAGAGACACAATAAAAGAGATGATTTACAAAGCGGATTTTGTAAGAAGATTTATTTTAATTAAGTGATTTCATGATGAAACATGGTCTTAAACAAAATAGAGATCAGTATGAAAATAAAATTATACACAGAAAATTCTTTTCCCCAAATGTTTTTGAGTAACAGGGAATACAACACAACAGTCCTGTATTCAAATTATGTAAATCTGTGAGCAGTCAAACATTATAGTACATTCCTTGAAGCCAGGCACAATGACACACATTGTGTGCCCCTGTAACACACTCAACACATTTTCTATCTCCTCTCTCTGCCTCGAAGAAAAAAATCCTGAAATGTAATGCAATGTAAATAGGGAAAAGGAGGGAAACTATCTTAATGCTTGAAGCAGGTATTCCCCATTTAGTGTTTTGTGAAAGTCATGTACCAAATTCAGATGAAACTTAAACTGGCTTGTAGAAAGATAGAAAAACTTGGAATTGTACTTGATATACAGTCTTGTGAACACTTAACTGAAAAGTATGGAAAGGATTAAAAAATACACTGTGTTCTACTTAAAGCTTAGAAATAAATATGCACTCCATATTCTCAGTGCCTGAAATTCTTTAAAAACAAAGAACTTGGTATAAAATTATATCAAGTAATTGTCAAAAATGAGGAAGATGCACCTATAATCCTGTTAGATTTTGGATGCCTGCATCCCCACTACAAAAACTTGTAAAACTCTACACACTTTCAAACATGCTGAATAACCCAAACTGTAACCTAGCAAGGGCAGGAACATCAACTGACTTGGGGGTAGCAGTATTCCACACCACATCCCTTCTTTGCCTCTAAAGATGTCCCTTTCCATACTGCACCAGCCCTTAAAAGTACAAATGTTCAGTCAATTATTCAAAAAGCAGCCTTGCTGATCAGGATTCATTAATGCCCTCAAGGCTACGTCATTCCCAGGAAAAACAGCGTGCAAAGAAAAAGCATCCTCCAAATGTGATTTATGTAGTTAATATTATCATAATTCTCCTCCTCCCTGCAATGCTGATAATAAACAGCAGTCAGTCCTGAGTGCTGCAGACTCATTGCAGAAAAATGTCCTGCTGTATGGAACTATTGAACCAGTATGGTTCAACATGGGAGTTGTCTTCTCATTTAGGACTTCAGGTTTATATAAAACTCCTACCGTCTCAGTAACCATGTTGCAGAAGAAAACTCACAAAGAATTCTTCCTTTGACTCTCGTATTGAATCATTCAATAGTCTTGTCTTTCAGGTAAAAAAACAGGTCAACTTTTAGGTACAGAAACCCATCATGAAACCCTCCCACCCTCTTACACAGTATTTTTTATAACATCATTAGAGTGTGAATGGAATCAAGATTTGCATCTGCTTGGCTAAAGCTACCTAGGTCATTGAGAATATTCTAATTACCCTAATTAAGCTTTGGAAATGCCACATCAATCCTTGTCTTTGTGGAAATGCATGGTTCTTACACAACCATAATGCAAATATCAAGTATCTTAAAAAAACCCCCAAAATCTGCATTTTGACACATCTAACATTAGGGATTTGCCCCATCACATTGAAAAGGAAAGTCACCATTGGTTGTGATGATTTAACCTTTTCTCAGAAGTGATATCCCTTGCCAAATGCAGATTATAATAAACAGTTGTTACTTATACAAACAAAAGACCACTTCCAGACACCACCCTTATTTTATTTAGAAGCCTTCGTTTTCCTGAAAATAGCCCAAATAAAAAAAAACAATCCAGT